CCCCAAAACCCCAACCCCCAAAACCCCAAAACCCCAAAACCCCGCTAAACTTGATTAAAATTGAATTTAAATTATAGAAAATGGTCCGCTTCGAAGAAGCCTTGGAACGGGAACTCAAGAATCCCAGAAGTAAAGGCTTTATTAACCAGACCAAGCTCTCTATGAATTACCAACAGATCTCCTGAATTGCTCCGTTTAAGTACCTAATCAATGCCGAAAAGGAAGGGTTTAAAAAGAGTTCAGAGTTGACACGGAGATATATTTCCCTCAGTTATTTTTCGACAGTCAGGAAATTGTTTCTCAGCCATAATAACTTAAGAAGTTTGGAAGGACTGGAGTATTTCACCAGTCTGACATATCTATCAATATCCTATAATAAGATATACGATATGGAAGAGCTCCAACATGTGCCCACTCTAGAGAGACTGGAAAGCTTGTCTATAGAAGGAAATTTCTTTGCTAAGCATCCAGGAATTATTTATAACTATCCTCAAGAGCTGACTTGAGAATCACCACTGCATGCATAACATCATTAAAGTTGTCTGCATTTATGAAGTACTCTTTAGCAGGAACATATGCTGACTTTTGACCCCAGATGCGCTTATTGACGCTAATGCCTTTCCAATAGAAAATGCCTTTGGGGAAGCATATTTTTCTCATGTATTGTAGAACACCTTCTGAGTATTTTTGAAGGGTGTATGCATTCTTTACATTATCATACAGAGTAATTTTCTCGATCTCTCCCTCTGGTTTCATTCTCATGTTCAGCTTTGGATACAAATCCTGGATCAAGAAGGTGTGAATTTCTTCAAAAATTTCTTTGAGATATTCAATTTGTTTTAATTCTGCAGTCTTTTGGTCTTCTTCATTCCATAAGAGGGGTAAGCTTGTCATGCATTTGCATGTGAGCTTACATGCATTTCTGAAAGAATTCTGGCTTCAAGCTCTGAAAACTCTTTTAAATATTGATGGATATCCTAAAATATTATGTGAACAACGAAATTGCGGGAGACTTACACTAGTGTTATCACAGATTTCAGAATTAATTATTGCTAGTTTACTTTTGTGGTTGCCGATTTTTAGATGGACATAAAGACAGTCTTCAGTCGTAGTCCAATGGTAAATTATTCCCGAGGAGGTTTTGTGTGCTGTTCTGATGAAAATCTTATCCGGAAAATCAGGGTAAAGATAGTAGTATTTCGAAATGACTCCATCCTTCTTAACTAACTCCTTGCTAAGAAGTAGAGGATATGAATAATCATTGATTCTTGCGATAATGTCAGAATATGAGCTTCCAATACTGCTATTGATTTCGCTGCTATGAGCTCCTTCAAATTCTGAAAGCAGGGTTTCATCTTCATTTTCTAGTGAGGCGTCTATTTTAACAATTTCTGTTTGTAAGTGTTCAATATAGTCCTTGAAGGGGCATTGTGGAGCTTTCGTTCCTGCTGGAGCTGAGAAGTTAAACATTCCATCGTTGATCAAGATCTCAAGGAAGTCAAATTTTTCCTCTAATGTGTGGAGGCAATTAAAATTCTGTGAAGTACAACCCTCTAATTTTTCAAGCATTGGTTCACTAATATCCCATTGTTTCTTCTTCTTAAGAAGAATGATGTAGATTATTTTTGGGAAGATGAAGAAGTAATCCTTTGGCTCAATCTTTCTAGCCAGGAAGATCAATAGATCAGAGGAGTTCAGATTTTCTAAGAATTTATAGCATATTCCACCATAGATAGCTGACAATAGAGGCATTGTTTCGAAGGAAGTATTTGATAGTTCCATGTATAGATCATTCGGAGTAAAAATAGGTATTTTAAAGTATCTACGATATTTCATTCAGAAGTCCCAGATGAATATGACACGGTCTATATTCTCAGGCTTTTCATCTTTTATATCCAATAGAGATTCTTCAGTGATCTCTTGGTCTAACTCTCCGAGTGTTTTGTAAATGGCTTTCCCTTGAATTTGGAGATCCGTATATTTTCGTAAAATTTGTTGGATCCTAAAGATAGAGAGAAATCTCACCTCTCTTTGTAAGGTAGAGAAAGTATTGAATACGATTGCCTGTATAACATTTCGTTATCAGAGTCTTTAACTACAGTATTAAGCTGACAGACCTACAGGTATTGAATATTCCTAGCAATCCAAGGAATTGATCAAAATCTATGAAGTCTTTTGGGGTGTAGTCAACTTTAACTGTGTCCCCATCAGAGTCGGTATTTATCGTCATAACCTTGATCTCTTCCTTACTTTCTTCTTTTGACTCTTCTATTCTTTGTCTCTTCAATTTTTGTTGTTGCGTCTTCTTTGAAGGAGGTGCCTTTCTTTTCATAGGAATTGTTTCTACCTTAGCTTTGACTTCTTTCTCAACTTTAGCAGCTCTTTTCTGTTTTGACGGTTTCTTCGTATCTCTTGGACCTGATGTAACTTCTATACAGTGAAATTTGTGAGAGAAGGAGCAAAATCAGGCAAAAACAAAATGCACATAAATTTTGTGTTATGAAGTCTTTACTCTTAGTAGGTCTCTTGGACGAGGGAGCTTTCTTCTCCTCCTCCTTTTTTATTTGATTCCGAGTCTTCATTTTTGATATTTTCTGATATTATTTCCAATATTTATTCTTTAAGTAGGGGTTTTGGGGTTTTGGGGTTTTGGGGTTTTGGGG